AGAAGCATGACACCTCTTTTAATTCTTAGACTGAGAACACATTAATTGAAAAATGTGTTGCAACATGTTGCCATTATAATCCTGTGACAAACTGTTCCTCGCAGTTAATGCTAAGAGCCACTTCTCCATATATGCAACTATATCATGTTAAAAAGACTCCACTGTTCATTTGGCAAAAATTTGGTTAATCAAAGTTGACTTCTGGCTCAACTAAACTATTGAAAGCTAACTATGCTAAACTTAGAGGTATTTTTGCCAAGTAAAATTAGAAAAGGAACATGTCTAATTAATACCATAAAATTAATATTTATAAAAGAAGGGCAGTAAACAAAAAATCTGAGTGATCGGGAAAAAGAAAACATCCAGAAGTAATGATGCCACAGAGTGTATTTTCCAGCATATCTTCTCTTAAGAAAATATGGGTTTGGTTTCGTGCGATTAGGTTTGTCATGTGTCGTCAACCGCAACAGAAAAGTGGGAGCAAACAGCCCTTGAGCATTTAGTACAATCACCATACAGGAGTGGCTATATCCCTTTTTTTAGATGTGTGCTGGTAAGTGCAATAAGGGAAAAAAAATTCTCCAATACTGAATGCCACAAGATTTAGAGAAGGAGAGAGAGAGAGAGAGAGAGAGAATGACAAAACACTAGAGATCATATCTGAAAGACTAATTATACTTTAGAGATGTAAAGCAGAATGGAGATTGGATTATATTCTCTTTTAAGTTTCCAAAATTTCATTTGAGAAATGTATTTACATTTTAGAAGCTTAGACTGTCACAACTGTTCTGAGATACTTAAAGCTTCCTCTTACTTCTCAACAGTTACATTTATACACCCAGTCCTTGGGATTTGCTGATTATTAATTTTTACTGACATTTTTAATGTCATAGTACCTATGGCTGACTCTCCTATTTACCATCTACATGAAGCTGCTAGTGAGGTCATCTGTTATAAAGGAATATGCTGGTGCTTTGTATCTCTACACTGGGCTGGTCAAGTGATGCCATGGAGCTTTGTCTTGATGTTTATAGCCTATGGGGTGCTGGATAGGAAAGAATATGCTTCAGTTCAATTATAATAAAACCAAATGGCTCTGGGATTGAGGACTTCTGGGGTCTTCCCAAATAGAACCACTGTGTTATACACAGCTCTAGATGGGATTGCATTACCCAAATAGAACCACTGTGTTATACACAGCTCTAGTGTGAGGAATAGGTGGCAGCCTTGGCCAAAAGAACTTTGTGTGGCACACTTTGTTGGACTAAAAGGCTCTGCTAACAGTTTTCATGTGTTAGTCACATCTCAAATGAATTACATTTATAAAATATATAAAATACAATTTACATGGGACTGCTCTTAAAAAACATCTGGAAGCAGCAGCTGACTGAAAATTGCAGTGTGAGCAATTATAGGTGTTCCCCTGTGCCTTCATGTTACCATTTTGCTTCATGAGCTCTCTTGATTGTCAGTATTCTTCTAAATGCAATTGAAGGTGCTTATGGTCACTTATCAATCCCTTCATGGAGTGGGATCAGGTTATCCATGGAGCTAGCCCTCCCCTATCATTTCTATCTATTCTCTTAGATGCAGGAAGAGGAGCAAACCATGGATCATATGAATCAAGGAATACCTTCATAGGAGACCCAGGATTTTCTACTTTAGTGCCTGACCTTTGGAACATCATTCCTTAAGAAAATTAGATCAGGCTGGTATTGTATATCAGCCTTTCACGAGGCTCCAAAGACATGCTTAAGTTTCTGAGCATGGGAGCTGAACTACTGGTTAGAACCTGTGAGATAGTTATTGTTGTTTTGTTTTGTTTTAATCTTGGCTGCAGGTTATGTATCTTATTTTCTCATTGTTTTTGTATTTTAACTTGTTGGCCACTTAGAATCCCCATTCGGTCATGTAAATTGAACAAGTAAACAAATATATGATCAATCAACACCTGGATGCATTTCTGGCCCTGTCTGCCTATACAAAATGATCAGTAAGGGATGCAGATGTTGAGTGATGTTTAAAGATGAGACTTTGACACAATACAGTTCCAATTGGATAAAGAAGAAGACTGACAAGGACAACCACTGGTTTATGGTGTGATTGGCCATGTTCTAACTCTAAGCATGTACTAATCATGGATGAGACTTGGCTCATTGAATTTTCTTTCTCTGTGTGTATCTTTCTGTCTCTCTGTCTCTGTCTCTCTCTCTCTCTGTCTCTCTTTCTTTTTAACAGTAGTGTTAGAAATATCACATATAAACTTATAATTTTTCCAGAGACAATATGATCCTCCAACTATCCCTCAAGAAACATTTAAAATTTTCTTAAAGAAGTAGTCTTAATATATGAGAGACTCTTCCCTCCCTCCTTCCTCAATCAAATCAACCACATTCTCATTTCTGATTTTTTTTTTTTTTTTTGCTAAATAGGCTGTAATTGAGAGAGGAATATGGCAGCCCTTGCAGGTTTTTCAGTACACTCTGTTCGAAGGGCTGTTTGCTGTGCGGGCCGCAGGCTTCAGGCCTTTGAAGGGTTGAATACCATCTTTTGATATACCATGACTGATGGGACATAAAGAAGTTTTTACAACGTTGATACACGGTGTGAAAAAGATCACAGAAAAAGGGTTAGAAACATGAAATGAAATTAAGAAGAAAAGCTGAGGGGCGGGCAAGCAAAATAATGTTTGCTACCATTCAAAACAGACTTTGCCATTGCATTTCTGGCAAGAAACAAATGGTTCAGATTCCCTTTGGAAGCTACTCTAAATCAACAATATTTTTATAAATCGCCTTTCTTCACCAGATGTTATCAAATGTGGAATTTTTACTGATAAGCAAGGCTTAGATGTTGGCTTACTTAATGCAATAACATTTCAGAACTCACATTGTCACTAAGGTTTGAAGAAATCTTCCCCAGCCTCCTTGGACTTGAAATGAATTTCTAAAACAATATCTCATATTTTACTTTTGTGCCCAATGCTTTTGGAGGGGAGGCTTAAGTTAAGATCTGAAAAGGTTTCAGACCGTTCTTGCTTCATAATTAAGCTTCTAGTCTGGAAGTCACCATCAGAATATGCATGACTGCAATAAAGTTGGAGAGATACTGCAGTGACTCCAATCAAAGCATATTTGGGCTTACTAGAATTTCTTTTGCTTACTAAAAGGCAGATAGAACTTCATTCTGGGCCTTTCTAACATGAAAAAGTTATTCAAAAGCCTAGTCATAAATCTTTAAAAAGGCCACGTTAGACTTATTAACTGCATTTTGAAAACATAGTTGCTTATGAAACAGTTTAAATAATGCCAGATGATATGCACATGATACATGTCCTCGACGGAAGAAAAATGTTTCTGCTAAGGGAACATTATTTATCTTATGTGGTTACGACTGTTAGATACAAATAATCATTTCAGAACTGATAGAAACAGTCCAGAAGTTGTTGCTATTGTTAATTCTCTGTTAGAGAAATGTTTAAATTGTTTTCATATGGGCACAACTATCTATCTATCTGTCTATCTATCTATCTATCTATCTATCTATCTATCTATCTATCTTTATTATTTTTACAAATAACTCAAGGCAGCAACCATATCTACATATCTTCCTCTTCCTATTTTCCCCACAACAACCACCTTGTGAGTGGGTTGGGCTGAGAGAGAGAATGACTGGCCTGAAGTCATCCAGGTGACTTTCATGACTGAGACATGAATTTGTGGTCTTCTGCTTTCTAACCTGGTATCTTAACCACTAGACCAAACAATCCCTTATGCATCTGGTTGTAGGAAAGTTCTTAAATAAGATTTTCCTGTTCATATTCCAGTTCTACCCTCCCAGTCTAACATATAAATGAGTGGAATAATATAAATGTTTTTCCAAGCAATGTACGATACATACTTGGAAAATCATGGGCCTAAAAGCACCCCATCTTGATATTTTATAGTTAGATGTTTTGGAAAATCAGAAGTGCTAAGTCAAAAATCCGACATCAGAAAGTTTGCAGAAATTCTGAGACAGTAACACCGTTTTTCAAGTAAAAACTGCAGAATATGAAGCAGTGACAGCAGCTGGTTCGTCTTAAAGCAGAGAACTACAAGAGAACAAAAGGTGAACGTTTTAACCTTTTGGAAGATAAATATTAACTATATCATGGCTCTTTATCTCTTCATAGTGAGCCATTTTTGAGCAGCAAATAAAACCATTTATTTTCCAGGAAACTAAAATTCCTCAAATTAAACCTCAATGGGGAAAAAATAACCAATTGAAACAATATCGTATCAGAAGAAAAAGAAGAGATCTCTGTCCCAAATTCTTCCCTTTCCCTTCAGTTAAGAACACTGAATGAAAAGATAACAATTCCATCCAAGAGGTCTAACCGAAATGCATTTCTAGTGTACTTTTTGGAGACAGGAGTGGGCAAGAGAAGGTTTCTGGATATTTATTTATAAATTATTCTCTGTTGGTGCTTTTTTGAAATGGGTACTTTTTAAGCTTTAAATTAAGGATTAATCTTAATCTCAGGAAGAAGCAGATGACATTGAAATGTTTGATATATAAAACCTAGCTTATCGAAGGGCAACAATACAATTAGAACTTTTCACATGTGGCTCTGTCATTGTTTTCATAACTTATTTTTGACTGTTTTGAATAGTAGCAGAGAGGCTGGATCAATGAGGATGTGGTTGATCAAAAGATGGACCAAACAGCATGTTTTACACAAAACTAACCAGTTTAAGAACAAGAAAGGAAGCTTTAAAAAAAACTTAAAACAAAACACATTATCCATAACCAGGAAGCAACATAAAATCTTCATGCAGTGATGGCTGGAGAAGTTCTCCGTGATTAATATTATTTCAAAAAGTTATTTAGCGGAGCTATAGTTCAACTCAACCAGATAAAGGGTGGGAGAGGATGGAAGGAAGACAGACAAGAAAACAAAACAAGCTGAAATTAAAAGCCAAGTGATGGGGAGGGGAGGGACCACTTTTGCACAATACCTAGATTGACCATGAGTTTCACCCGGCCTCCATCTAGTTCAAGCCGTAGTGTATCAGCTGAATCACGTGATGTTGTGGCCATCAGCAGACCATATGCACGCTGGGACATGAAGCGGAAGGACACATCCTCAGCCTCTGTATGCATGACCATAGGCATAACAATTTTCATATACATGCTGCCATCATAACTCAGGACGGAGGCCTCTGAAGAAAAGGAAAAGATCAATAAAACAAATTACAATAGTTTTAGGCATTTTAAAATTTGGAGGACATTCATAAATATTATTTCACTGTAGCATACAAATAACAAACATTCCCTGGTATTGTATATTCAGTTGAAAATATTAAGAGTGAAATTACCTTAAAACAGTAGAAAAATAACAGTAGAAAATTGTATTAGAGAAAAGATAAAACCAGTGACTACAATAATGGCAATCAATATAGAACCATAAAGTAACTCCACTTGAAGCAATATACATTGTTTTATTGGCAGAATTTCTTGAAAAGGGCTTCACATTAAAATCTTAGTAACATGATACATTAATTTGAGTAGAGAATCTCTACAGATATCATGGTTTCATAATATTTATCTAGCAATAGCTAACTTTATATTCATTGACTAATTGGCATACTTATACCAACTACAACTTTAAACTTTTTCCAAACATAGTTTAATGTATAGTACAGTGATGGCTAACCTTTTTGGCACCAAGCGCCCAAAGCACTTGCATGAGCACCCCAAAATGCAATGCATGCACCCCGCACACATGCCCCCTTCATGTGTGTACCCTGCCCCCACATATGCGCATGCAACCCTGCCCATGCGCGCAACCCCTGCATGTGTGTTCCATCTCCGTGCATGCATGGCAGAGACCCAAAGATCAGCTGGCCAGTGGGAAGCACACGCACACATGCGTGGTGGAGCTGAGCTGGGCCGATGGCTCATGTGCTCAGAGAGAGGGCTCTGCATGCTGCCTGTGGCACATGTTCCATAGGTTTGCCATCACGGGTATAGTATATTCAAAACATGAACTCAAAACCACTTGTTAAATCTGACCAATTCAAAACAGTGATACTTAGTTTATCAATCTTAAATATGCAAACACACTCTTTGCCTAACTCTCTGCTTGCACATCCAGCAATAGATGAAGATGGAGCATCCAGACTACTAACAGACTCTGTCGGAGAGCGTGTAACCATTTCTACAATACAACAATCTGCAATTTAACAACAATCTGTAATTCAAGTTCAGGTTCTTACTGATCATCAGGAGCATGATGATCAAGAATCAAGACAAGATTCAAGGGCACTCATTGTTTCCTTGTAATTAGATGGCAAGAGTCAAAGAAGGTGAAAGCTATCAGCATTTTGAAGGTAAAGGTAAAGATACCCCTTGCACATACATGCCAGCTCTGGGGAGGGGGTGCTCATCTCCGTTACAAAGCCGAAGAACCAGCGCTGTCCAAAGACATCTCCATGGTCATGTGGTCAGCATGACTAAACACCGAAGGTGCACAGAACACTGTTACTTTCCCACCAAAGTGGTCCCTATTTTTTTACTTGCATTTTTACATGCTTTCAAACTGCTAGGTTGGCAGAAGCTGGGACAAGTAACAGGAGCTCACTCCATTATGCAGAGCTAGGGATTCGAACCGTCAAACTGCCGACCTTTTGCTCAGTGTCTTAGTCTCTGATCTACCATGTCCCTTACAAAATACATTTTGAAGATACTTGATTCTAATATATCATGTTCAACTTATCATATTTGGAAGCATTATGTGATGATCTATCTCCTTTTACAGGTCCATAATGTTGGGACAGGTGGAACAAACAAGTACCACCAGCAGCAAAGTGGATGGATTCAAACACAACAGTAACAGATGGATTGATAGGAGACCTAAAAACTCCAGGCTGGGGATGGATTATCCTGCAGATATTATGTCATGTAATTGTTTAATGTAGACCTCAACTTGATAGCAATCAAGTAATCAGTAGATGGGTAAGGTATAGGATCTGATTTCTTGACATGTGAGTGTTATTCCAGGTTGCTGGAAAAGCTATGTTCTTTTCTCAGAGTTCCTGTTGTGGTAAGCAAAGCACAATAAGTTTAATAATGCTACTTCCAGATGCTGGTGAAACCCAATGTCCTCATATTAGACATAAACTTATTTGCTGCATGTACTGAATCGAAACACACAGGCCTGCTTGGTTTTGCTTTAGATTCTATTAGACTGTGCAGTTAAGCATGAAATGGCACTTTCTGACACCTTTAGTTCAAATGTGACCTGCATGAAATAGTCCCTGTGCTAGTGTGTGCATATGCATACATTGCTGATAAGTGTCAGAGTAAGCAAAAGGAATGCTGTCAGAGTATACATGAATTTACCAGCATAAGAGGGATCAGATATTTCCCTTTTTTAGGTAAAATAGGATGTATTGCATGGTAGAAGCATTTTGTAATTAGCAAGAACTTTGGAGATATAAAAATCTGAAATGTTTGGAGGGCGGACATGGCATCGCGACGATACAGCATCCGATCTTGGAGATCTGAGATCGCTGCCAACAGAAAGAGAGAGTGTGCCGGTTTGGTGAGAACTTTTTCTTTATTCTAAGATCTGAAAGGACACCCTAAGGAAAAGAAAGAATCTGTAAAAGTTTTGACAGAAGTGATTAAGCAGCGATTTTAAATAGGAATGTCAAAGTAATTTTTTTTTTCTCATTGCTGGATTTTCTATACACAATCTTGTATTTTGAAACTGGACTGATTTTTTTGTTTACATCTATTTTTTTTCTCCTTTTTGATTTTGTAATATTTTAGGCTAGAGGCTCCCTTTAGTTATCTCTGTTTTAAAAATATCTTTTTCTTTTTTTATTAATTCTTATTATATCTTGCCTGGAAAAGGTGGGGGAAAGTGGGAGCAAAAAAACTTTGTAACACTGTCAACTAGAGGCTTGAAAATATTCTATTTCCCTGTGACCAGACAAAGCTGAGAGGGAAAGAACTGAAACTCTTTCTCAAGGACATTGTCATTTGATAAGATAGAGGGAAGAGCATTAGAGAGTATTATTGCAGGTGCTCTTCTGGGTTTTTATCAACAGCTGAAGTCTGGTGTTGAAACCAGGGGAAAAAAGAGGTGATGGGTTTTTGGAGAGGAGAGCTATAATAAGAGCCTTGGATAATTAAGCAAAGTGCAGTGTGCTCTTTTTACTTTTTCTAAGTTATGCTATCCCTCCTCACAAGGTTTATTGTATTTCATTTTATCTTTTTTTTTTGTAATAACTATATGGGTTTTTGGCTTTGTTGGAGCTTGTCTTTGTTTTTCTTTTTTTCTTTGGAAGTCCAATCTCTACGTTTGTTTTTTATTTTAAAGGGAAAACTTTCAAGTATTAATGTGTTTCTTTTTTTAGGGGAATGGCCTTTTTTCCCCCCTTTCCTGGTGTTTTTGTTTTTTCATCTACCTTTCTGGTTTGTTCTTATGCACTCTTTCCTATTTGAGACCTTTTAATTGGATTGAGGTGTTGAAGAATCTGAAGAATTTTTCTTTTTATTCCCCCCCCTTTTTTTTTTTCAAGCCTTTCTCTTCATCTAACTATTGATTGGATTAAGGAATACAAGAACCTGAAGAAATTTTGTCCTCCCTTTTTTTATCATTATTATTGGGCTTCTTTTTTCTACTATTTTTATTTTTGAACTATAATTGGTTACTTCACAATTGGATTGGGGTTTGAAGGAACCATAAGATTTTGAATTGCTTAAAATGAGTGGGAAGTTTGCGGCTCCTGGTTCTTCAACTTCTACTTCTTCCATCTGGAGGACAATGTTTGGTGCAGACGATGTTAAAGTAGGAAAGAGAACAAGAAGGAGTGACTGTGCAGATGATTATGCAAGGAATTCAAGGTATTCAAGCAAGATCAGAGACTATTGAAAATAATAGAGAACATTGAACAAAGAACAGAGAACATTGAACAAAGAACAGGGAAAACTGATGAAAAAGTGGAGAACATCCAACAAATGATATTGAAGTATGATGAGAGATTCCAAAAAATTTCAGAAGAAGGTGGACAGGGAGACAGGAGGATTGGAGATATTGATGGTGGATTAACAGTGGTTGAACAAGATAAAATTGGTATGTTGAGATGGGAGATGGATAGATCAGAATTCTATCTTAGATTCCAAAATGTAGAGGAAGAAAAAGGACAAAACTTAGCTGAGATAGTGATAGAGATACTGGCTGAAGCTTTGGAGATAACTCAGGAGAAGATGATGGATGAGGTTTGTCGAGTTTTCACAAGATATGCGATCAGAAGTAGGTTACCAAGAGAAGTTCACATTAGATTTACAAAGAAAGCTATTAAAACGCAGGTATTGTGGGTGGCAAAAGAGAAAACACTGAAATATAAAGACAAGGAGATTGTGGTCTTGAAACAAATGCCCAGAAGAGTGAGAGAGAGGAGAGGAGAATACCGATTCCTGACTAAAATGCTTCTTAAAAAAGAGGTGAATTGTAGATGGCTGATTCCAGAAGGCTTGATGTTCGCATGGCAAGAACAGAGACATAGAGTTGACTCAATTGAGAAAGCAGAATTATTTTATACAGAATTTTTTGGAGGGAAAGGGGAAGAGGCAGAAGGAGAGATCTCGCTGGTTGAGTTCCGGGAGGACTGCCAAATGGCAACTGAAAAAGAAGAAGGTGCAGTTGGTGGAAAGGTAGAAGCCAGAGAACAACGTGAACTAAGGTCTACGAGAGCTGCTAAACTTAACTACTGGATATCACCATGGAAGAGAAAAGATTGATTACAATTTATATAAATGGACTTGGCTCAGCTGTTGAAAGAAGGAAAACCTTTCATAAATTAGAGAAATTAAAATTTGATATAATTCGTCTACAAGAAGTACATATTGAAGAACGATATGAACAATTGTTGATACAGCCAAAATTAGGGAAAATATTTGCTTCCTTGACACAATGTAAGAAAAGAGGAGTGGTTTTATATATTAAAGAAACCACCCCAGCAAAATTGATTTATACTGATGATGATGGAGGAGTACTAGTAGTGGAAAGGATGGACAATGGTACGAAGGCACTCCTGATTGCAATCTATGCTCCGAATGACAAACAGGAGGAATTCTATAAAAAATTACATGTGAAAATAATTGAACTGGACTATGCTAATATAGTTGTGATGGGAGATTTTAATGAAAT